AGTTGAAAATACGACGCGCAGTGGAGTATTTTTGACGAACTTTGAGGTGTTTGGAAATGTGGTCAAACACAGTCTTGAGTGTTTGATATATCTTCTTAACTGAAACTAAAACCAAGGAGAAAATGGAGAATTAAAATCGTAAAAATCTATGCTTATTAAGATCAGGTATCCAAACACCGCTACGGTCATGATTTCCATTGTTTAAACTTGATGAATTATTAATGAGTTTGAGAACTACTTTTTCCACATGGTCCAAAATATCTGGGGAAAAGATCTTTGTATTTAGTAGGCACCATCCATATTAATTGACTCTTACCTGGAGGGTGTTTAAGCAAGACCTAATATCATTGTCAGTTTTCTCACATAACGACGTCAAAGTCGTCATATCTGTATTGACTGACTCTTGTCTGGATATCTAAATAAACAGGAGGAAAAGTGAGAAAATTCATCAAAATATAATATACCCAGGAGAGATCATGTTAACTTATAATGCAAGTGATGACAACAAGGAAAATTACCTTGATTCAAAATTGAGATATTAAGAACATGTATGGATAAGTTTGAAACTGATAAAGGGTTTCAGTAAAACATAGACAGGGACTTTCAAGTTGATATAAGAATACTGCGTATCTGATATTAAAAGTACTACCACTGATAAAAGATAAAATTACCTCCAATAGACGAGTAGCCAGACGACTAGGAATAGTTGATGGAAATGCCACTAAAAATGCGACTTGACGCAACTGACGCAGAGCAGGTGCATACCTAGAAAAAGAAACAAGATAACTGTGGAAATAACTCAATGTAACAGAGTTTGCCATTTAGACACTCTACCCTGTCACTAAGGCAAAAATGACACTGTGGATGTCACATATCTTCTTTTCCCGTCATCCAGTACACAAAACAAGTTTTTGCTTGCTTGCTGCAGAGATTACACATGTATGGGTGGTTCCGGCTATATTTGTCAAACTGTTTCTGTTTGTCTCTGTATCTATAGCCTGAGCAGCGTTTTTCACAACTTTTGACAGTTGATGCCTGTGATGAAATTAAATGCATTTACCTCGGAACCTCAAGAATGTATAGTATAGTATGTGCTAGTAGTTTGTGTTGCAGCAAATAGTTTAATGACTTTTGCCAGCAACGTTTGTCTGCGTATTCCTTCACTTACAGTCTGCTCACAAAAAGCCTTGCTTGCTCTAGCACAAGTAGAGTAAATAACCCAATGATCCAATCATCAACTACTTAGTCAGGAATTTTATTTTAAGTGTAGATTCATCTGATAACAACTTACTGATCATTACAAATACAGATGATAGGTCGTGATAGTGGCCCTGCTTTCTTTTTCTTTCTTCCTTTCTTTCCAGGAGCATTATCTGTAAAGAAGGGCATCTCTCAGATTGTACTCACTATAGCCACTGTAAGTATTTACTTATTGTTGCCAAAATTGACTCTACTAACTATGGTGTGAACTGGTTTTATTCA